GTCACTTGTTCTGTATCCTTGCTGATTTTCTGCCTAGTAGTTCTACCCCTTACTGACAGTAGGGAGGGTATTGATTTCTTGGAGTATTGTTGTGGTTTGCTATGTCAGTTTCTCATTTCACCTGTATCCATTTTTGTTTCTTATATTGAAGGGGGCCCTATTGTTTGGTGCATACACATTTAGAATTGTTATGTCTTCCTAGTGGATTGATCCTTTAATCATTATGTAATGTTCCTTTTTGTTTTTTTTTTTCCTTTCTCTTTGTATCTAGTTATTTTATTTGCCCTAACTTCTACTTACCTGTAATTTATAGATGATGTTTTGTTTTTAATGTTTGCATGGTGTATCTTTTTTCAGCCTCTTAATTTCAACCTACTTCTATCTTTGTATTTGAAGTAAATTTATAGAGAGCATATTGTTGGGTCTTTTATTAATCTACTTGCCCATTGTTTTATGTCCATCTGAGCCTGTCAGTATCACTGTCATCAAGGAATACCAGGAGGTACTAATTTGGTCCCCCACTACCTGTAGCACAGGAAAATATGCAGGGAGACCCCACACATAGTTTCCTGACCAGACCCAGTGCTGTAGCTGAATGAACCCTTGTGGTTCTTAATGACCGTAAGATGCACTTCAGCAGTGGTTATCAGGGAACTTTGAAAAAATATTTATTGCTACAGGTCCTGGAGGATGCAGAACACACTTGGACTGTACAATGAAGTATCTGGTAGAGAGACAGAGAGAGAGACAGAGACCGAGAAAGGTAGCCCCCAGAGTTCTGCATATATTGGGGTCAAGGGTAGGGTACCAAGGGTTTTGCTGGTTTACTCTGTTGGTAAATTCAAAACATAAAAGCAAGAATTAAATTGCAGGAAGGAAAAAGTGGGGTCATTCAAACAATTATTTAGGTTACCTGGAGCTTTCTAAAAGGGAGACTTCATGGGTGGGTGGCCTGGCTCTCAAACTAGTTGTATAGATGGCAATATGGAAATAGATGTCTTTGAAGTGGATGCCTCAGCAAGCAAAAAGTTAAAGCTAATTGTCAGGCACCTAACCTACAGCCAATCTCTGTTGTTGTATTTATATCATTTATATTAAAGGTGATGATGGGCAGCCTGTGTGGCTCGCGTGGTTTAGCACCCCCTTCAGCCCAGGGCCTGATCCTGGAGACCCGGGATCAAGTCCCACGTCAGGCTCCCTGCATGGAGCCTGCTTCTCCCTCTGCCTGTGTTTCCGCAACCCCCCTCCCCCCTTTTCTGTCTCTCATGAATAAATAAAATATATATATTTTTTTTTTATTAAAAGTAACTACTGAATGTTAGGACTTAAGTCTGCCATTGTGTTTTCAGTTTGCTTCCTCTATTTCTTTTTTCTTAATTTCCTATGGTTTCTTTGAATATTTTTAAAGATTCCATTTTGATTAATGTATAATACCTGATTGTATCACTTTGTATGGTTTGCTTGGGTTTTGCTCTAGGTATAACATTATGCATACATAATTTATCCTGGTGTGATGATACTGATATTTTTACCAGTTCAAGTGAAGCATAGAAACTTTATTTTCATTTAGGTCCCTTTACTCTCCCCACTTTTTAAAACAATTGTATTTCTTCTACATAGGGTTAGTTCATTTTGGTAGAGCTGATAAGGCTGTATTGTGATGTCTGTCTTGATTGGAGAGGAGTTCCCAAAACTGGGGCAATGATTGATTGGGTTGAGGCTGGTGGCGCAGGCAGTGAAGGAATTCACTGGAGGCAGAACAGAGGTGAGAGAAGTTTATTGAATGTACTGCTAGGGAGCAACAGTCAGGATAACAGAGGAGAGGCTATCTGCCATGAGGTAATGGGTGCGGGCTGTTTTTCAAGAGGGAAGGTGAGGAAGTATGGCCGACATAGGGAATTCTCACTTTTTTGGTAGCTATGTCTGGTTGTGGGTAGCCCATGGGTTAGTGGATATTTTAAGGTGGGTCACCTGATGGGCCTGTCTGTATTCAGTCAGGGAGTCGCTGTGGGCTCTTTCTACCTTCCATCGTTCCAGCCTGTGGTCTAAAAGCAGCCTCTCTACAGATGATTGTCTTTTCTCTGTAGCCCTCCTGAGTTACAGGTTCTTGTAGTTCAGTTCTTCATTAGTCTAGTGGTGGTTGTGAATTACTGCATGGAATTACATCTTCCACAAAAGGACCTTTTCATACCTTTCTTTCTTGTATATGTACCTTATATTTATTTTTATCTTATTGCCAAGCACAAAAGCTGAGTCTGTTTTTTTCTGTTTTTTAATCATCAGTAATGATTATGTGTCTTTCTGTTTTGCCAGTATAAAATGAGAGCTTTAGTTTTCTTCTTCCCTTTTTCTTCTTTCTTTTTTTTTTTTTAATATTTTATTTATTTATTCATGAGAGACAGAGAGAGAGAGGCAGAGACACACAGGCAGAGGGAGAAACAGACTCCATGCAGGGAGCCCGACCCGGGACTCAGTCCTGGGTCTCCAGGATCAGGCCCGGGGCTGAAGGTGGTGCTAAACCACTGAGCCATCTGGGCTGCCCTCTTCTTCCCTTTTTTTAAGTTTTTTTTTTTTTTTTTAAATTTTTATTTACTTATGATAGGCACACAGTGAGAGAGAGAGAGGCAGAGACACAGGCAGAGGGAGAAGCAGGCTCCATGCACCGGGAGCCTGACGCGGGACTCGATCCCGGGTCTCCAGGATCGCGCCCTGGGCCAAAGGCAGGCGCCAAACTGCTGCACCACCCAGGGATCCCCCCTTTTTTTTTAAGTTTTTGTGTTACAGTCTGGATGTTTTAACTCTCCATTTTAATCTGACCGCCCATAATTTCCATTTTGTTATATGATATGATCTGTCTTTAGTACCTCTCTGACTTTTCCTCACCTCCCCCTCACTCCCTGCAGCCATAATGATCTTTTTGCTTTTCTTTGAGCTCACCAGGCCTGCTCCTTTCTTGGGCCTTTGTATTCTTTGTGCCCTCTGCCCGAAATGAAATGAGTCCCCTTCTCCCTGAAGATACTCCCTTGGCTTGTGCTGTCTCTTCCTAAAAGGCCGTTTTTGTTTTTGTTTTTTTTCTAAAAGATCTTTTTTCAGAAGTCATATTCTAAGACTTTCCCTCATCCCTCTAAAGGTATAATCCATCCCCTATTAAAGCCCCGTTTCTTCTCTACTTGATTTTTTCACAGAACTATGACTAGCTAATACAGTAATTTAAGTATTAACTGATTGTCTCTTTCTCTTGATTAGAATATGAGTTCCATGAAGACAAGAATCTATATCTGTTTTGTTCACAGTTATTTTTTTAAAAAATATTTTATTTATTTGCTTGAGAGAGCACAAGTGAGGGGAGGAGCAGAGATGGAGGGAGAGGAACAAGCAGACTCTGCCTTGAGCTTGGATCCCAAACCCCCACCCCAGGATCCTGTGATTGTGACCTGAGCCAAAACCAAGAGTCAGACACTCAACTGACCAAGCCACCCAGGCACTCCTCTGTTTTGTTCACTGTTTTATTTACATTGCCCAGAATAACCTGGCACAAATACATAGATTCTCGATAATAGGTGCTTAGTGTTTAGATAAGTACCTAATCTTCATGTATTTAAAATTTTCCTTCTTTAGATTGGGACTGTCAGGCCAAAGGATGAGTGTTTTTAGTAGTTCTTGGTACTTTTTGCCATGTAAATATTTTTGTTTGCTTTATTTCTTATTTGTACCAGGTAATACTTTTTGTATGATTTAAAATTCAAACAGTATGAAGTTTGTGTTGAAAAGTATTCCTTCCGCTTCCATATTTAAGCACCTCATTCCTCCTCTCCTTAGAAGCAACTAACTTTGTCCATTTTTGGACACTCCTTGGGGAGATATACCAGTTGAGCTTCCTAAAAAGAGTTGATATCAGGTTATATTATAGGACAGAATATTGTACAATTCTATCTGTCCAGAACATTCCTATTTCCCTATCTACCTCCCAACCCCCTTCAATAGCCAGTGTCAACCATTTTTTAGAGAATGTTCCTGTCATGCTAGTTGCTAAAAGAGTGAGATAATAAAATATTACTCTGTCTATGCTCTTGAAGTTCAAAATCTAGGTAGGATGGTAAAGTATACACACTTAAAAAGTAACAGAGGGTTGGGCCTCCTGGCTTGCTCAGTCAGTGGAGTGTGCAACTCTTGATCTCAGGGTTGTGAGTTCAAGCCCCATGTTGCATGTAGAGGTTACTTAAAAATAAAATCTTTTTTTTTTTTTTTTTTTTTTTTTTTTTTAAAGTAACAAGGGCACCTGAGTGACTCCATTGTTTTTGTTTTTGACTCAGTTTGTTAGGCATCTGACTCTTGGTTTCTGCTCAGGTCATGATCTCATAGGTCATGAGATTGAGTCCCACATCAGGCTCAGGGGAGTCTGTCAAGCAGATTTCCCTCTGCCCCTTACCCCACTTGCACGCACACAGGGCACACTCTCTTGCTCTCTAAAACCTTTAAAACAAAGAAAAATTTCATAGAGAACTCCTGTTCATGATGGAGCTTGAAAGATAAATAGAATTTTTAATAGACACAAGAGGATAACATGGTGGAAGTCTCTAGTAACAGTTTGGCAAACTACATCCCTCAGGCTATTTCACTTGTATATTGTTTTTGCTCTCATGCTGTAGTGACAGAGTTGAGCAGTTGAAACAGATCATACGGTCTGCAAAACCTAAAATATTTACTATCTGGTCCCTCAGAAGGCTCTGTGAGCAAATAATAGGATGTAGGTGGGAAAATGTTATTGATAACAGGTAAAGAAAGGAGAATAAGATGTTGACTATAGTTGGGGGGGTATCAGTAATAGAAGAGTGGAGGGCTAAAGAAAAGGAATACAATTAGGGAAACCATTGTTAAGAGGAAGTGAGGAGTCATTCCAGGCTAGTACAGTAGTTCAGTAAGGCTCAAATGTGGCTTGTCCATAATCATGCTTTTCTTTTTTTTTTTTAATCATGCTTTTCTAATCTTTCCTTTACTAGCCAAGAAGGATCAGGAAGGTGGAGAAGAAAAAAAATCTGTGCAAAAGAAAAAAGTAAAAGAGTTAAAGGTGTTGGATTCAAAGACGGCCCAGAATCTCTGTGAGTGACTCTGTGATTTCTAACTATTTGAAATGTTGAAGGGGTTCTTCTAAAAGCTTAATTTTGGTAGATCCAGGGTCCCTTGATTTGTTGAGTTCCTGATGTATGCCAGGCATTGTATAGGGAATTTCCAGTATCTTGTTTAATTCCTCAGTAGCACTGCAAGATTATTCCTTACCTTAAAACTAGATACTAACAGCATTTAAGACTTTTAGGAATTTTAGGTAGGGAAAGACTGGTTTGGGATTTGAACCTCAGATTTTTTTCTAATTTCAAAGCCCTTACTGTTTCCATTGCATCCACAGAATATTGTAGCCACTGTGCATTTCTTTCTTTCTAACTTTCTTTTAAGTACTTCCTTCAAATATAGGCACTAGTTTGCCTTCACTTAAATCTAAAACAACTTTGTGGTTTAGAATAAATAATGTAAATCTTGTATTTCTCAAACTAGGATCAGAATCTCTTCTGCAAAATTGGTATAGGTAGTACTTACTTGATCAGGATGAATGTTGATTTTGTTTGTTTGTCTGTTGATCTCCTTTATATTGAGTAATAGAGATTTAAATATTTGCTCAACAAATATTTGAGGTTCTGCCATGTTGCAGTCTCTGTTAGGCACGTATGAGACAGGTTTTCCAGAGATGAGAGGGTATATATTCCATAAAACCCATTCACAATCTTGAAATGTGGCTGTTGTACCCATTTTTCAAAATGAGATTTAAGTTTAGATTTTGTGACTTGGCCAAGGTATACATACCCATAAGTAAAATCAGGGATAGAATGATAACAGTAAGCCTTTACATTATTCTTTGTTCTATAGTCCTAGATCATTGACAACAAATACTACTAAATATTGTCTGTGGGTAAGTCCTTTTATGGAGACCAAAGTAAAGTGAGATAGTTCTCAAGATTATCTCTGGGAATAGAAAACATGAGTAACTCCTATTTTAGAAAATGATACAAGACTGGGTAGTACATGGTTCTTTCCAGCTGGGTGATAACAACATAGAAAACACAACTCACAAAGAGAATTGAAATTTGTTTAGAGAGGAGGTATGGCCTAGGAGATGTGATTTAGTGATTCAGAAATTATTATTAAGTGCCTCTTATGTGCTAGGGACACTAAGCTGAATAAGTCATAGTCCCTGTTTTCAGGAAGCATGCATCTCATGGAGACAGAAAAGTAAATAACATAACCACGCAGACTAAGTGCTGTGATGGAGGTGTGCTAGGGTGCCAATGAAAGCACCAAGAAAGGGGCATCTGAATCAAGTAGGGGGAATATTGGAGGGAGAATGGCATTCGAAAAGAGGTACTGCTTAAACTGAGTTGAAAGAACGATGAGTCATGAGTGAAGTGAAGGGTGAGGGCTGTTTTCATGCAGAGGGGTCAGCACGTATGAAGGCATAGATGCACGAAGTGACACTGTGCTGATGGAAAACTGCAAGTTGTTGAGTACAGCTGAATAAAGGCTGTATGTATGTGGGGGAGTGGTGACAAAAGCAGCTTTCAAGAAACCCATAGAAGCTAAATTATAGAGAATTCTGACAGGCTTAGGTTAGGAAGTATCTGTTATCCTGAAAGCTTTGGAATTTATTAAAAGGATTTTAATCTCAAAAATGAGTAATACGCCCTGTGTAACTTAGGGGAAGGCTACTTGAGCAGTGACTTTGAGGTTGGATTGCTAGGGTCCAGGAAGACTCCAGGCAGATAGATGAGTTATGTTCTTGCTTTAAACTAGGTGAGAGGTAATGAGGGCCTGAAACTAAAATGGTGAGAATGACTAGGAATGCAGAAGATACTAAGGAGATAGAAATGGAACTTAATGACTGGCTGAGGGGGTGAGGGAGATGTTTTCCTTGGTTTACATCACTCTATAGAGAGTGGTACCATTTACTAAAACAGGAAAATTCAGCCAGGAGCAAAACGCCTTTTGGGGGAAGAATGGTGAGTACTAGACATGAACGAGAGGCAGCAGGGTGGTGGGTAGGAATGATTACTTATAGGATAGAATTTAAGGTACCTATGGGACTCTTCCAGAAGGATGAGTGTATTAGGCATTTGGGTGTAGGAATCAGGAGGAAGGTTTGGCTAGAGGTGGGAATTTAGGAGGTAGCACAGGAGTCATAGCTGAAGCCATGAGTTTGCTTTGAAGGCCACTAATATTTAAGGGGCAATAGAAGGAGGGCAGGCGGGTAGAGAACTCAAAGACTGGAAAAGAGCAACAAGAAGAATGGTATGGCATAGTCCTAAGAAGTGGAGGGTAGTCAGTAGTGTCAAAGACGAAAGTGGTAAAATCAGGACAGGACAGGAATCCCTTGGATCTGGTGTGAAGAAAGTGAGTAGCCTCAGCAAGAAAAATTTCAGTATAGCATGACTAAGAACAGAGGCTCTGGAATCCTTTAGTATTTAAATCCTGTTTCCAACCCTTACTGGCAGGGTGCCCTTGGATTTGAGTAGCTTAACTTTAAGTATTAGTTTCCTTTTCTGTCAAATGGGGCAAATAATACAGACATACAGGATATTATGAATAGGGTTAAATGAGATCATGTATGTAGATATGTTTAAGGTACCTTGTGTGACATTTAATAAATAATTTTGGTCTTTTCATTAACTCTGGGGACAAGAAAATAGATGAGAGCTGTGGATGTGAAGAGAATAGACTTTTGTATTTTTATTTTTTATTTATTTATTTTTTTAAAGATTTTATTTATTTATTCATGAGAGACAGAGAGAGAGGCAGAGACACAGGCAGAGGGAGAAGCAGGCTCCATGCAGGGAGCCCGATGTGGGACTTGATCCCGGGTCTCCAGGATCAGGCCCTGAGCTGAAGGTGGTGCTAAACTGCTGAGCTACCCGGGCTGCCCAGACTTTTGTATTTTTAGAACGTTGTAGAGTGGTGGAAAGAAGTTGGTAATTAGAGAGGATTATCAGGTCAGGGTCTTTGGTTTTTTGTTTTTAAGATAGTAGAAACTTGATTATGTGTATATGCTGAAGGCCCTGGTCCTCAGGGCCACCTGTTCTATTGAAATAGAAGAAAAAGATGAGTACATGGGTATAGTTGCTGATAAGCTTACATAAATGTTGGCACAAGTTTTCTTCTGGATAATCCCAAATAGTCCTTACCCAAGCCTTTTCTGGCTTGGCTCTGGCTGAGAGCCCCCAGTGCATAAAAGAATGCTTAGCAAGTAATTTCACCAGTGGCTTCAAGTTTGTTTTTTTCTTCAGTGAAGAGGAACAAGATTTTTTTTTTTTAATTGGAAGTGGTGGGACATGAGGATACTTTGGAGGAGCTTCCAGGAAGGCCTAGCACAGAACAGGGATGCACAGAAGGACTGCTAGGCACCACTGAGCCCTCCACTATCATTGGTGCCACTCCACACTGATGAACCGTGATCTACAGAGTCTTTGTCAGCAGGGTTCATCAACTCAGGTGCAAGGAGAGAGGTGACATGGCTGGACTGACCAGGAACTGGAAGGAGAAGGAAACAAGAATGGGAATAGTAGTAATAGAAATGTCAGTAATGGCTGAGATGGGACGAAGCTGTAGACTGTAGGCTCTGGGTGAATAGAGAAAGCAAAGTAGAACTTTGGAGAAAATGGAATGATTGGCGCTCACACCAGAGAAAGCGAGTGCTGCTTTGGTGAGGTTGAGGGGCCGTTGGTAGAGGCTAGTGAGTGAGAGAGCTGGGAAACAGGAAGTGTTTGTTGGGGAACAAGAGATGGCAATTTAAGAACCAGAGCATTTGAAGGCAGTAGCAGCTTTGAGGATGGAGTCATGGGAGTGGGGAACTAAAAATAGAGTAGGATGAGTATCTTGGATATGTCTAGATAGAGAAGATCAAAATCTTCCTGTGTAAGCGAAGGCCAGGAGCCACAGTGTTTGTAGAATGTGGTGTTTGGAGCAGTGTAGCTGGCGTGTGGGGTTTCATAAGAGAGGAAACTGGAGGGTGGGGATCTGAGACACTGGACTCCGGAATTTGGATTTTAACTACACAGGCAGTGGGGAGCTGGTGGAGGTTTCTAGAGTGACTTGAAATGAATACTTTTAGGCATATAGTCCAGCAGAGGTTTGTAGAATAGGCTGGAAGGGAGAGGAGACAGAGAAGAATGTGGCTTTATGTCTCATTTTCCGGCAGCCATCTTTCTGGGTTCCTTTCGCATGGCCTATCAAGAGATTAAGAATGTCATCCTGGAGGTGAACGAGAGTGTTCTCACTGAGTCTATGATCCAGGTAAGGAGCAAGATTGTTCTGCAGGAGCTGGCTCTTGATGTCACAATACACAAGCCTCATCTGTTTAGAGGGTGAGGCCCTCTAGGACTGTTGCTTTACAGAATGCTGGCTTTGGGTAAGCGTCCATCTCTCCAGTGGTTGGGTTATTTCTGGTATTATTTTTCAAAAGTCCTGCCATCTTACTAGCTGCCTCTCAGCCAACCCCCCAGCCCCTACCCCATTTCCTTCTTAGTGGTCTTTGGGCAGAGTGGGAGACTGACAAGAGGCTCAAGCTGTCACATGACACACAGGCACATGACACAGTCCCTTTTCTCTTTCAGAACCTCATTAAGCAAATGCCAGAGCCAGAGCAGTTAAAAATGCTTTCCGAACTGAAGGATGAATATGATGACCTGGCTGAGTCAGAGCAGTTTGGTGTGGTGGTGAGTAAGGCCTGTGGCAATAAGCTCTTCTCTGACTCTGTCGCCCGCTCCTTCTCCTGGAGCAGCCAGGGCACTTGTTCCTCCTTCCTGTCTGTTTTGAACCTGTCTCTCTCTGCGCAGTACTCTGAACTCCCAGCCTCCCATACGAGACTCAAGCCTGTATGTTTCTCTTGATCTGCCCTCTCCCTGCTGGCTATCCTGGAACTGTTTGTCTTCCCCACCAGATGGGCACTGTGCCCCGCCTGCAGCCTCGCCTCAATGCCATCCTCTTCAAGCTACAGTTTAGTGAGCAAGTGGAGAATATTAAGCCAGAGATTGTTTCTGTGACTGCCGCATGTGAGGAATTACGAAAGAGTGAGAGCTTCTCTAGCCTTCTGGAGATCACCTTGCTCGTGGGAAACTATATGAATGCTGGCTCCAGAAATGCTGGTGCTTTTGGCTTCAACATCAGCTTCCTCTGTAAGGTGAGCCAGGTGGTTAGAGCAGAACAACAGAAGGGAAGGCAGCTGGCCTCTATGAGTACAGTGTGGCAAACTGCTATGGGCCTCAGGTCTTGGGCATGTCCAGACTAACAAGTTACTCCTCTTCTCCCCTCCACCCCGCCCCAGCTTCGAGACACCAAGTCCACAGATCAGAAGATGACATTGTTGCACTTCTTAGCTGAGTTGTGTGAGAATGACTATCCTGATGTCCTGAAGTTTCCAGATGAGCTTGCCCATGTGGAGAAAGCCAGCCGAGGTGGGGCAGGTTGGGGCGAAACTAGAAGGCTGTTCCAGGCCTCCAAAATCTCTGCATTGGGATGGAAATAAGACACAGTCTAGATCTTAGATAATTTTCAGTTCTGCCTGTTTTAGGTGGGAATGGGAGAGGTGTAGGCATGATGTCAAAGCCACAGAGGAGAGGATTATCAGGCAGAAGGGAGGTCTTCATGTATAGAAGTGGAAAAAACTTTTCCCTTCCGAGGGAAACACCAAACACTAAAAAAGAACTGTAAGAAAGGTAGGTGTTTTTAGTCTAGGTCAGCAGTTCTTTTTATTCAGAAAGCATGGAATTAAAAACAAAAACAAAAAACATGGACTAGATTAACAAAAATCAGGCCTTACCATCCTGATCAAGGCACACAAAAAGCAGCATTTAGTAGAAACAGGAACAGATTTCTGCCCTTCTGTATTTCTGTGTATTGCTCCTTCCTCCCAAACTCTGCTCTCTAAAATAAAGGAGACCAAGATCACAGGTTCTTATTAAATTAAATGAAGCCTCTCTTCTTGTGGAGGCTGTAGGTTTCAGTCATCAAGTAATTTATGATTTAACTGGAAAGATAAAAACTGCAATGTGTGAAACATCTAAAGGAGAGAACGCCAGAGCTAAAGTCATGAGGTACAGCTCTGTGTGTACTGACGCTGTGCCTGGAAGAGCAGATGCTGATCGTCTTGGAACTGGAAATAAACTCTTGCTTTCTGTTTTTGTGTTTCCTTTAGTCTCTGCTGAAAACTTGCAAAAGAACCTAGATCAGATGAAGAAACAAATTTCTGATGTGGAACGTGATGTTCAGAATTTCCCAGCTGCCACAGATGAGAGAGACAAGTTTGTTGAAAAAATGACTATATCCTTTCTTACAAGGAGGGAATTGCATCCTAGGCAGGGAAAGAAAGCTTCCCAGGGAGAGGACAGCAAGATAGTTCTGGTGATAGACAATTTTTTCCTTCTTTAAAAATATTTAAAAAAAAAAAAACTCTTTTCATTAAATATATATTCTTGAAAGCATTCTCACTGTTGTGGTCGGGACGTCATGCAGCTAGACTCAAATTCCTTGCTGATCCCTGACTCTGTCCCATCTCTACCACACACACACATTCTCTTCTCTTTCCCCTCTCAAAGGTAACCTCTGTGGCTGGGCTCCTGATTCTCAACTCATGAGTTTATTTTAAACAAAAACTGTGTTGGATTGCTTTTTGCACATACTGTTTCTTAGCCCTGGCTCCACAGCAGGGTATGCAAAACCTCCTCTTCTGTAGGTGGACCATGGTTTATGGTTGACCATTCCCCTGTTTGGGGTATTTAGATTGCCTCTCGCTTTTGCTCTTACAAACACTGCTGTACTGCATATCCTCGGGTGTGGCAGTGTGCATCTCTGAGGGTTCCTTGGGGCTAGAGAAGTGGGTCTGCTTTCCAGCCCTGGGCCTTGACTCCCTGGCTGCACAGCTTTGTGAAGGACGCGCAGGAGCAGTATAACAAGCTGCGGATGATGCACTGCAACATGGAGACCCTCTATAAGGAGCTAGGAGAGTACTTCCTCTTTGACCCCAAGAAGTTGACTGTGGAAGAATTCTTCATGGATCTACACAACTTTAAGAATATGTTTATGGTGAGCCAGGGACTCCTGCCGATGGAATCTTTTGTGGACATTTCTCACTTTTCACGTTGGTTGGTTTCACAGGGTGAGTGTTGGGTGCATGTATCTATAAGTGTATACATGCCCACGTGTTTTGTTGTGTTTCCCTCCACAGCAAGCAGTGAAGGAAAACCAGAAGCGGCGGGAGACAGAGGAAAAGATGCGGCGAGCGAAACTAGCCAAGGAGAAGGCAGAGAAGGAGCGGCTCGAGAAGCAGCAGAAGAGAGAGCAACTCATAGACATGAATGCAGGTGAGAAGCAGACAAGGGCTAGGGCTTCTCTGCCTAGAATCTCGAGTCCAAAGACAACAGCTCATACCTGAGCTCAACTTCTGGCAAAAGATTGTGGGCAGCCTTTTACCTCCAAGAGCCTGATGCTGCGCTTTGGCCTCACTTGGCTCCCCTGGATGCACATTCCAGTGCTCCGTGCTTGGCCCTTCTTTCTCTGCTAGCTCCTGTGTTATGTCTCATCTCCCCAGTGGTTTTAGTATTGCTGTAATATGTACTCTTCTGCCTGGCAAATATTCTTACAGCCTGTTTTTGTACCCTCTACTAAACCTTTCATTTTTTTCCCCCAAAATGTTTTCCTGGCCTTCCTCCTTTTACTGGTAGCTTGCCCTCCCTTTCTGCTTCTTTTCAGTAAGTACTGTGTGCTCGATACCTCAGCACAGTTGTACATGCTGTGTACACACAATTGCGTGTACCTATCAAGGGATTGAACTTCCGGAGAAGGGGGCATGGGAGCTGGCCACTCTCTTCTTTCTTCAGCAGAATGTTTCACTACCAGAAGCATGTCTTTGTTGAAACATATGGGCTCAATTACTGGCCTTCTGTTTTCTGTCTCTGCTGCCTTCCTGCTGCTGATGCCCTGCACCCCCTCTGTCCCTTCTGTGGGGAGCAGAAATATAGCATACATGGTACATGGCACTGAGCTGATGCCACCCTTCTTGAACCCGAGGGACTAAGAGCCATCTAAGTAAATGGGTTCTTAAGGCTGCCAAATCTGGCGAGAATCAAAGTGCTTTGCTGAGCACAAGAGGCCAGAGCTGCTCTAGCACCTCTTGCTCACAAGGATTTTCCTTTGGCAGCTCCTATTGTAGTAAAGTCAGCGACCCTGAAGGGGCTGAACAGCCTACATTTTTTCTTTTTGTCACACTTTTCTGGGAAGCAGTGCCACAGTTGTTTAGTTCTATAGAAGCCACATTTTGTTCTATGAATACTGTTCACATCAGGTATCCTTTACCTTCCCCCATTCTCTCTTGCTGGCCGGGGTTTGTCCCCAGGTACTGTTTGGGGTGCATCAGGGAAAGGTGGAGTCCAGTTGACATGCAGGATGACGGCTGCACCCAGTCATCTGGTAGTACAGGTAGACCTGACCCTGGCCCTGGTCCCCAAGGCAAGCAAATGAGGTCGGAATGTAGGTCAGCTGTACTAGTGATGTTCAGCCACCAGGTGGCGCTGGGAGCAGTGAGCCCAACCCTGTAGCTAGCGGCCTGCAGGCTCCTTGGGATTTCAGTTTCAGATTTCACCACCCTGGGCTGTTGCCATGGAAACAGAGCCAGGCTGGAAGGAGGACTCTACGTTAACTCTTTATATTCCAGCCAAGATGCTTCTTGTACAGGCTGAGCTAACTTCTGGAAGATGCAGCCACAAGGGGCAGTACTTAAGTAAAATTCAGTCTTGATGGGGGTGGGTCTCTTCTTTATCCTCAGCCCTGCTCTGAAACTGGAACCATGCTCTCCCTGACATGTTTATAGGAACTGGAGTGAAAGCCAGTGATATAGTAGCATATTGATTTCATAATCCCAGTCTCTGTGCTTAAACTGGAATTCGAATTGGGCAGTTGTACAATTTTCGGTGCTAGTTCCAGTTGGGATGGGAAGGAGGGTGCTGCAAGGGATTGGGATATTTCAGTGAAACTTTATCTGTTTGAAAGTCGTTGAAAGAAAAACATTGGCTATGAGGCTTGAGGTTGAACCTTCGGTCTGCTCTGAGCCCTCAGCCACCATGGGTGAGGGCAAAGCCAGGCAAGTCATACATACTCAACGCTATATGCTGCTCAAGCTGAAGAGCTTACATCTCCATCTTTGTGACAGAGGGCGATGAGACCGGTGTGATGGACAGTCTTCTGGAAGCTCTACAGACAGGTGCAGCATTCCGCCGGAAAAGAGGACCCCGTCAGGGTAAGTAAGCAGATGGAGCCCAGCCTGAGTGTGGAAGGGGTGAGGTCTTGCTGCTCCTGGTCCTGCTTATTTTGGGCTGAAGAACAGGTAAAGATGCCCAGAGGGTTTAGGAACTTCCTCACAATAGTCCCTGCATCAAGAGTGGGTTGTCCAGTTCTCTTCCTCCTATGTTAGAAAGCACTGACTTGGGGAACTAGGTCTTCAGGTACTGATAGCAGACCTATTACATCTGATAATTACTGCATTTCTCCCCATTCTTGAAGTAGAATCATGGAACAAGTGAACTGTGGTGCAGGGCCCAGAGATTGGGGTGGGTGTTTGCATGTATGAACATAAACTGAGCTAAATGCAAAAGTGTACATTGGATGGAAGAAATAAGACGTCAGGAGCCCTTACCCTCAACTTCACAAGCAGAAAAGATCCAGAGAGGAAGTTAGGCATCATTATCCTCAGATGTAATAACATAGAGTAGCAGTTCAATGGAAGAACTGTCTTTGTCCAAGAATTTTTCCTTGGGTGCAGGTAGCCTGCACTACCTTTGTCTTCCCCATCTATTCCCCCACAACCTCCTCTCCCAACCCTCAGAAGATTTCAGTGGATTAATTTGAGCCAGAGCCTCTAAGAATAATTATGGGGATAGGAGGACAAATGATCCAGACATTAGCGTGGGGAAGAATCAGTGGACAAGTTTCCTTGGAAGGAAGGAAGCACACAGTGGCCAAGAGACTAGTCAAGGAGAAGGTACTGTAGCCAACACTGTCCCTCAGGTGGGGTGGACCTGCACCATTGTGGCTGGTGAAGGCCCTTTTGTACTAGGAGTGATGGCTTCTTTCCTGGGTTGAAGGGTGGAAATAATAGAAAAGGTGGTCATGAAAGGTTTCTACTTTCAGGAGAGTGCAAGCTGTGTTTCCTGTTCCCTGGCTGGGCTATTCTGTAGGTCTGTTTGTTAAGAGCTTTAAGATTACTGGAAGGAGGAGTTGGGTAGCTTGCTTTGACCAGGGCTGAGCTGTTAACACAGAAGTATCTATAGGGCTTACAGTTACTGTCATTGCCTAGACAGGGGTCCTCAGGATCAAGGGTGGAAAGCATGCTCACCCACATGAGTTTAGTGTCCCAAAGGTTATGGTCTATTTCTGCCTATACTCTCAATTCCCAAAGGAAAATTGCCATATGCCTCCAGGAAATTCCGTATGCCTCCAGAACCTTCCCTAAATAGGAGAAACCTACTTACAAGTCTTCCCCATTTTCTGACATCTTCTTGACAACCGGCTGTGTAGTGCGAGGAGAGGTGGTTATGATGGGCTTAGAATTTCCTGGCATAGTGCGTTAAGTATTATAGATTGTTGTTTGGGTAGAGAGTGCAGCTAGTAGTATTTCTTTTGTTTAGAGACTCTATGGGAATGTTTTCTACCCCCCATATGAGGTGATATGGCCTTCCATTAGGCATTTCTAGCCAAACAAAAGTTTATTGCATCTCACCATTCACTCTCTCAGCTAAATGCCAGCATGTATCAGACTGTTGGTGGGGAATTCCCTTTTTAAGCTTCTTCCTATGAAACTGTACTAGAATCCCAGATGCTTCCTGTATACAGACAGCCAGACATCAATGGCTTCCCTCTGCAGGGGAGGCCCCATTCTCTGCTTTTTCCCAAGTAGGAAACCAGGACTCACAGGCAGAGGAAGCAGGGATTTTATCGGAACATAACCTTTCAGCAGAGGATCTGAATTATTCAAGGTGCTGTTTCTCACTGCAAGGAGGAATAGGAGACTGATACTAGGAGATACTATAACAGAGAACTACATACTTTTTAAATTGGTTCTATCCTATAACCTAATCTTTCTGGACTCTGGGTTCACAGAACGGGGCTGAACATAATCTGGGAAAATCTCTCCACGGAGAACTTTCTGGTTACTCTGGTATGCTGCTTAGGTGGTACATTCACATGCTGTGAAGTGATGTGGCCTCGCGCTAAACGAAGAGGCTCCATCACAGTAGCATGCTAAGAGCATCGGACTAGGTAGAGATTGAAAGACCCAAAGTCATGTCTTAACTCTGATATTGCCTAGGGTACTCTAGACAAGTTTTGGGGACTCAGTTTCTTCATGAGTTGAACTAAAATGGTCTCCTGGGTCTTTTCCAACTTTAATAACTTTTTTGTCCAGCAACAATAAGATTAAGAGAAGACCAGAAAGAGGCTGGACTCAGAAGGCCCCATTCTCAAACTATAGAGGCTGCGGGTTTCCCTTAGTGGCTGCTGGACTTAGCTCATCCACTTGTTGCTTGACCGTCTCTGACTATTCCTCATAGCCAATTGCCTGGAGCCAAAAAACTGCAGCCCCAGCAAGCAGATCTGCCTCACAGCCCTCGGTCCCAGGCAGCTGGCTGTCCCTGCCTCAAAGACACTGGCCTTTTCCATAGGATTTAAAGGAATGTGTAAAAAAGGAAAAAAAAAAAAAAAGTCATCTGGGCTTTGGAGACCTGAGGGAGTTTAGACAGGGTACAGAGAAGTGTACAAAGAACCACTGAGGAGTTGGAAGAGGAGAGTTACTAACAGGGCTGGTTCATTAAAAGTGACATGTGAACTGCTCTGATCTGCAGGGTGTGGGAGAACAATGGTTCGAGTGTCAAAGAGAAGAATCCATGTGATTGTATCACAGCTACTATTTCAAGCTGATGATTGAGTCAGCATGTGGTTTTAATGACTCAACTTTATTTCCATGTCTGAATTGCGGCCTCTTATATACCGGCCATCTGCTCACTGGGATAAAAAAGTCAAGGAAAGAAATTGGTCTTTTTCTTCCCTTCCTTCCCTCTAAGCTCCACCTACATTAACAGAACCTTCAAGTCTGGAGAGCCTCTAAAGACTGACCTCTGGTGACTAGCATTTGACCTCTGCACAGAGGGTAGCAGTTAAGACCCAGATAAGCTCATGTGGCCCAGCTCCACAGAGCTGGCTAGCGCTCGAGCTAGAACTCTAGCCTCTTTTTGTGCTTCCAAGTCCAGGGCTGTTTCCACTAAGCCTACTGATGGAAGGAAAGGACAGTGACTCATCTGTGGAGGCCAGAAGTATTCGTTCGTACCTTCAAGCCAAGAGAGCACTAAACACTGTACAGTTGCTGTGAGAATTTTCTGATGACTACCTGTCTATAGAAGGTGAAGAATATTTGCTACACCACCACATACTCTCCACTTTTGTAAAAATAGGACAGGAATTATAATTAGGTGACTTTTAGACAGTAATGAGTTCTCTAGGACAGTAATGAAGGCCCCATCTGTCCCAGTTTCCTCTCCCCTAAGGAAACCTATTAAGAACACTTCCTCTTCAGTAGCAGTTTCTAGCCTGTATTTTATAGATGTCTTTTTCCAAATCATTGACCTTTTCCTAATTCATCTGTGCTGCTGTTATACATGGTTGGTGGCTTTTGCTAGTGTTTTTATCCTAGCCCACCTGAACTTCTAGGAATGTGGCTTCTGAGAGCTTTGGCCAGTGTCTCAAGATCATTCCCTTTTCCCCCACAGACTATGAGACCCTTCTCTTGTGAGTTATCTAATATAGCCAAATTATGTATCTGCTTCTATGGCTACTTTTCAATAGTCTCAAGTACCCAAGCTAAGGAAAGGAAGGGAAAAGTCACTTTCAGAACAAACTGTTGAGTGTAATTGTGGCTCTGAAGACAAAGTAGAAACCAGATTCTTCAGTTCTTTTGATTCTCTTCCCAGTTCCAACAAGAGCGTTCTCGTATCTAATTCTGATCGTAGGCCGCATCATGGCCATTCCTAGTATACCTACTTCCTAGGCTTAACAGGGAAGTTTTGGTCTTCCTCCCACATACTCTTAGTTTTCGTGAAATCTGTAATGCATCAGAATCTTTTGGAATCTAGAAAATCTAGAAACAGTGCTTGATGAGGTACAACCAGTGTCCTCTTAGTTTAGAGGAAGAAACCAAAGAGATATAACATAAGACATGCCAGACTTGAATAAGACATGCCAAACTTGAAATCTGATTTTCCCATGTTGCCCGGGAGGTGTCTCTGAAGACCCAGTGTTCTTTTTCCTCTGGGGTCTGAAGTCAGAAATTATTTCAATACAAACACATCTATTTAGCCACACACACATAGTTGGCAGTGCCTCCTCAACTGCTAGGGACTGAATGCACAAGAACACCCAAGTGACATCCAGCCACTGCTTTTCTGGACCTGAGAAGTAGGGTCCTAGAGGAGGGAGTAATTCAGGAAAAAGTAGAAACTCAGTGGAGATGAGGAAGACTTGGCTATAGAGATGAAGAAGACAGAAGCATCTCCCTGTTTACCTTCCTAGTCACACCCTGGTGGGCTCCTTTTCCTCCCCCGTACGTCACTGAGGCCATAGCAAGTGCTCCTAATCAAAAGAGCGGTTTGTGTAAGGCCTGGAGTCTGGGTCACATGCCTTCCCCCAGAACCAGATGATAAGCCCTTGAGCTGGTCAGTCAGGGCCTTCACTGTTCCTTCTCCTCTTGTTAGACAGTCCTGTGTACCCCTGGGAGGAGGAGTTGGAGGAGGAGGAGACCTATAAATTGGTAACCTGTGGGCATGCCGTGTGCTCCCTGACCTGTCAGGGGACCTCTGTCGTGTGAACACAGTGGTGCTGCGTCACATTTCTGAAGAAGCTGACAGCCCCGCTGAAAAGCTGGGCCTACTGACCCTGTTTGGCTTCTGTCTTGTCTAAAGCTTCTTGCTGGTCTAAACAAGGCAAGGCAGAGGTATTCTGGGTGCTTCGTTTGCCACCTCCTCTGGACCTCGCCTTCACGTGCATGTCCTGGAGCTGCCCCAGCCCTGCCGTCTTCCTGTTAGAGCTCTGGGCTCCTCTGACTGGCCCTGCTTTAAGCCTTAGGTGCTGCTTTCTTCAGTCATCTTGCCCACGAGCCAGCAAGTGGGGTTTGAGATATAAATCAAATGCTTAAAATTCACCCTTTTAAAAGTATATACTTCAGTATTTTAACAAGTTTGTGCAGATATCACCACTATCTAATTCCAGATTATCATCATCACCCCAGAAAGAAACTCCATCGCCATGAGCACTCATTTCCCCCAGCCCCTGACAGTCACAAATCTACTTCCTGTCTCCCTGGATGTGTCATTCTAGACATTTCATAGAAATGGGACTCCTAGCACATGTGGCCTTCATGTCTGGCTTGTTTCAGCCCCGGCAGGCAGCTCTTTGTGTACATGTGGTCTCTCTCTGCTGTTTGTAGGGCATGGGAAGAGGCAGAGAGCATGAGCTGGGCACAGTCCCAAGGAACTGCCTTTGTGCTGCAGATTTATGGTCCCAGTATCTTCATTCCATAAATTTTTTTTCTTTTTTTTCCTTTTTTTTTTTTTCATTCCATAAATTAACACGAGAGTCTTAGAACAGAAACCCGTGGGTTGATTGGTTCTTTTCTTCCTAAGATGACAACTGGAGCTTCACAATCCCTTAGCCCTTTGGGCTGAGATTGCCTTGTGGGGGGCAGTCCTGGCCTTCCTTGACCCCAGCTCTGCATTCCCTGACAGCTCTCATAACCCACCCGCTCCCACACCCCCCATACATACCTTGTAGGGCCCTTGGCATGCGTATCTCAGCTGCTGCCCTTGAAGAAACGGGAAAGAGCTAGGATGTAGGCATGGGGAGAGGGAAGGAGGGCTGGGGGAACACTGGGGAATGTGACGTGCATGTGGTGGCAGTGCATGGCCGCTGCTGTGCTCCTCTTTGCAGGAGTCCCCCCGGGCAGCCTGCAGCAGGCCCTCCTCTGCTGGGGCCAGCCATCCGCAGGGCTGGCTGAAAATGGTTTTGGCCCAGGAGGATCCCTGGATGCTGCCAGGAAAACAAAAATAATACTCTTTTACTAACCTTGGGGCTATTTAACTCCAACAACCCTGTGATGAGAACACACATTTTGAGTACTTAATTTCTCCTTAAGTTACACAGCAGACTGGCTCCACGTTCTGTCTGGCTGGCTGCATTGACACCCGTGTACAGTGTCCACCCAGGGAAGCACGAGCGAGGCTTGCTCTCCTGCCTGCACCCTGCCCTTAACATTCTCTGCACAGAGAAAATCTCTTCCCCGTGTTCTGGGATCCCCGCCCCTCCTGCTTTCAAATAGGGGCCTCCCTGAATCAGAGTGTGCAGCCACATTCGTTCGCATGGCTTCAGGCTGAGCGTCTGCCAGAGTGTCGGAAAGGGATTGGAAATTGAGCCTTGTGTGGTCAAGCTCTTTCATGTCTCCTCTGCAGCCAACAGGAAGGCCGGGTGTGCAGTCACGTCTCTGCTAGCCTCGGAGCTGACCAAGGACGACGCCATGACTGCTGTTCCTTCTAAGGTGCCCAGGAACAGTGAGGGGTTCCCCACCATCCTGGAGGAAACCAAGGAGTTGGTTGGCCGTGCAAACTAAGCTGTGTCCTGCGGCCATAGCAGCTCCTCCAGGAGCCCCAGACTGTCTGGTCCTGTGGCATGTGCCTCCAGGGTCGCGGAAGTATTCCTCGGGCTGCTGCTGCTACCACCCTGACCCTCTTCCTCTGTCCATCAGCACAGCTTCAGCTGCCAGGAGGCCAGCAGGAGAGGGCAGAGCAGGGAGGCCCGAGCCCCACCCAGCCAGCCTGGCTGTCGTATTACCAAAGCAGGCTCCATGTTTGCTGCCTTAACCCCAAGTGTCTCCTCTCTGTCACTGAGGCCTTGTCTCAGACGAGGCCCCACCTGCTTTCCCAGCCCCTGCCTTTCCAGTGGGCTTTCCCCTGGGTCAATCCCACTGGGTTTGTGCTTTTCTTTTGTGGTTTCTCGAGCCCTGCCAACAGCATGGGGCTTGTGCACCTTTAGGCTCTCTCCCTCCTTTCATTGCTGTCACCTCTGCTCTGCTGTTCCCCCTCCTGGTTATTGTTATTTATTACTAGTGGTGTGACAGTGGGAGCCATGCCTAGAGAAGTGGAGAGCAAGCCCCACCCTTACTGCACCTTCCTGGGAACGGCCTCCCAAAACAAAAAGGACCTGGACCACTTGATCTGTTCTACGGTGGCCAAGAGCCTGTGGAGAGGCAATGTCTAGAGACACTTTGGGACCCATCCCCAGCCTGCTGCCATGTTTTATGACTCTGCCTCTGTGAACTCTCTATACCTGCCTGGGCTCCTGAGCCGTGGTCACTGCTCACACCTTCCCCCAAGCTTTGGTGCATCTCATCTGGAGTATGGGCTGTACTGTGACCATCCCAACACCTCACCCTCTGTCTCCAAGGAAATGGGAGGTGGAGCCTCCTGGCTGAGAAATTGTTTTGCAAATGGATCTATTTTTATATGAGATTTTTTTTTTTTTTAAGAAAATAACTATTCCTTTCCCCTTTCCCCTCCATAGTGTAAGAGGCTCTGATAGCAAGGTCCCAGCATCCCTGGGATTTATCCCCATATCCCCACAGGCCTCAATCCTGAGCAGGACCTTGGACCTTTGCCTCAGCCCTAAGCCTGGCCTGTGTAGATTCTCTCTCCCATTATCCAGTTCTGGGGCACAGCTTCTCTGGTAGAGCTGAACCAGGCCTAAGAATAATGGGAGCTCTGAGACCACAGTTTTTATAAATTTAATATATTTATCAAGCCAAATGTGCAAATGCTAACTGGGCCCTGGGCAAGTAAGCACAGGAGTATGGCCACACAGCATAGCCCTGCTCCCTTCTGAACAGTGGGCAGGCCAAGCTGCTCAGTAGCCCCGGCTCCAGAAAGCTCAGATTCTCTGGCTCCAGGTGACACTTTGCCCTCCTTGTGCTTTCAGCTTCCCACCCCCAGGTAGGGAGAGAGAATGGTACTGTTATGGCTTGACCCAGAATTCAAGTTGTGGAGCAAAGGGGGGACTTAGGCGACCGAAGCATTCCTGCAGGGAGGCTTTCAGGCCGGGAACCTGGGTGCTGGCTCAGCCTTCAGGTCTATGTGTGAAGGTGCAACAGCAGCTCCTTTGAGCTCTTCCCTAGAAGGTGGGGGTGAGGGGGAGGCTGCCTCCCTGAGTCTGCTCCTCCTCCCTGCTGACATCTGGGGCTTTGACCCTTTCTTTTTTAATCTACTTTTGCTAAGATGCATTTAATAAAAAATACACAAAAAACAAAATGCAAACCTATTTCCCTTGCCTCTTGGGCTTTTGGGATTGTCATCACCTCCAGTTTATTGGGTTTGTTTCCAGTTGTTAATAAAGCATTGAAACAGTATTACCTTACCATCTGCTTTGTGAGTTTAAGCTGTTTTCCAAATCCCTGGTTGACCTGACAAATAAGTGTCAAAAAGTTTAAGGCGCCTGTCATGTGCCAAACACCCTGCTTGGGCCTCTGCCCTTGAGCCTGCACAGCCTGCACCATGTGCATGGAAGAGTGGCTCCAGTGCAGTCCCCGCCCCCCTCCACACCGCCCCTTTCTGGAATTCACTTCTAGCTCCCCACCTCCTCCTGCCCCCAATACCTGTGCCTCTTCTGCTGCAGGAAGCATTCTCCCATCTCTCCTCTACCCCCCCACCCCCCTTGGTGGCCACAGATCATACTTTAGACTAGAGGAACTTAACATTGGGGTGGAAACTGAGCCTGGCAGCAGAGGTCAGAAGCCAGGGGTCATGCTCCAGGCCACTTCCTGCCCAGAGCCATACTTGAGCACGTGGTGACCTGCACAAAGGAACCCTGCACGCTGTGAGCGGTCGAAGCGGTCGAGACTAGAGAGGAGGGGCCTGAAGAGGACCAGGACACCACTGGGGCAGGCTCTAGAACTGGAAATAAAAGCCTTGTAGATAGCCCTGGAGCCTGGGCAGCTTCCTCCCCCCACCGGCGGCCAGAGCTTTACGGGCGCACATGCCAACTAGGGGACCAGCCACAGCTGCTCACCCGCTCTGCCAGTCCGCTGCTGCCGTGCCTGGAATAGAACCCAGGCGCCCAGCACCCCGCCCTCCGCAGCCTGGCGCTCGGAAACAACACCCTGCTTCCATCCCAAACCGCGCTCACCGCCCTTCCTCCCACACAAGAACGTCGCCTCCAGATGCTTAGTTGGAAGGCTTGGTTTCCATGACAACAGTCTTCAGGCGCTGGCAGAGCCGGCGAAGGGCTCCGAGGGCGAGCCGTCGCCCTGCGTCCCGCACACCCAGTGACGGTCTCCTTCCGCCCCGCGGTTAGGCATCCCCTCGCTGACCAGCGGCCCCCCCCCCCGCGCGCCCCGGGGGGTCCGTGTGTCTGTCCTTCCGCTCGGCCTTCTCTCCACCTTTCGTACTTCCTGCAGGAGACCGGACTCCCAGTGTGCTTCAAGGGGGAGGCAGGGGAGGGGAGGAGGAGGACTAACTGAAGAGTGAAAGCGCAGAGAGGGCGGGCCGCCTGGGTCGGCCGGCAACCGGCCGGCAACCTCGTTTCCCACAGCCCTTGACGCCGCGGTCCCCTCCCCAGCAACAAAGCGCTGAACCTTCTAATCTTGGCTTTGCTGCAGAGAGTGGGAAGCTCAATTCCAGATGGGTAAACTGAGGTCCAGGCTGTAGCCTGGGCCTGTGCGCGCATGGTCTCCCACTCCCAGTGTTCCCAAACTCACTCGGCAGTAGGGGGGATGGGCAAAGGAGGCGCGCCCCTCCTTCAGAGAAGCCCACAAAGGTACTCCGGGGCGTTAATTTTAGCAGGGAAGAGGCGAGACCAAGGAAGGGTGCACCAGCCCAGCCCATTTCCAGCTCTGTAGCGGGCGCCAACGCGCTCCCGCCCCGCCCCGGGGCATCCTCTCCCGCCTGGAGCCTGGCGCCTAGGGCCGCAAGGGAGACAGCCACTGCACGCTGACACGCTGCACTCAGAAATGCCTGCCTCCACAGCAGACGCAGAAGCCGATTACACCCAGCGCAATACCGAGCCACAAGCACAATCACAGTTGTGCCCTGCTGCCGCTGCACAACAGTACCTCTAGCACACAGCCACGTGACGGTCACATACAGACTCGTGGGCAATGACACCAAACCGAGGCGCAAACACCATCGTCGCCTGGTGATCCCGCCCTTCGTCCAGCACGCACCGCTCAGCGCATCCCTTCATCCACACTCGCCAGGAGCCTCCATCCCTTACACAGAAGCGTTCAAGCTTTCAGAAGAAACGTTTTAATTTTTTTCAAAGAAAAAAAGCCATATAAATATTAGAGTATAAAACTTGCGTGAGACAGAGGAAGGGGAGTGGGTGGGGCAGCTACGTGACTATGCAAAGAGAAGCACTTCTAGGCGTCAGTACAGGGGAGGGGAGCGCCGCAGCGCGTGGACACAGCACAAAACACAGCACGGCCGCCGCTGGCGGATTCAAGGGCGGTCGGCACGGAGCCCTCCACCCACCCGCCACCACGGGAAAGCACACCGCACTACACTATTGGCTACACTACACCAGCCGAAAGGGGGGGCTCTATACTACTGTCGGGGCTGGGGTGGGGTTCTTGCACAGCCCCGCTGGGTGTACGAGGCTGGGGCGGGGTAGACAGGGGTGGGCAGAGAAAGGTCTATGCACAAGGAGGCACTGGGGGACTTCAACCAGGCTCTGGCCACTGGGGGGGGGGCAGACTGGTGAGGGGGCCGGACAGTGGCCTTCTGGGGAAGAAATGGCACCTGGCAAAATGAAGGAACAGAGGCTTGGGGAGCGCAGGGCCCCACAGAGAAGCCCTGATCCCAGGCTGAGACATCCCATCCATTTGGTCCCAGGTCTAGCTCCATGTCTCCCCAAAACCCAGGGACCAAGAACGGCCCAGCCTGACCCTCCCTCACTGCTGGGGCCACAATGATTCTTAGATCACTGGCACCTCTGGAGTACCCAGCACCCACAGAGGGCCCTCTGACCTCTCCAGGGGCCTGGTCCTAAATGTCCTCACACCTTCCTCTGACTGTAATGCCAGTTTAAACCTACTGATGCTAACAGCTTAGCCCAAAGTTTACTGCCTTTACATGGTACATGAGGGCCCAGCCTGGTACTTGGTTTATGGCTGGAATTGGGGATCTGGCCAGTACCCTGGCGACATACAAAGCCTTCTACAAGGCCCTGATAACCGGTCAGTCAAGCTTTGTCCATCCCCCACATTCACACACTTCCTTTCATCTCACCACCCCATACTGTCTTGGAACATGCAATGGAGTCTCTTGTTTGGGGAGGGGAAAGTCACAGCATGCAGTGGAACATCAAACAATGAAAAACAGAACAAAACACTGGTCCCGAGGGTGTTTGGAAGAGGCATGGTAGCTACATGCCCCCCCACACACACACCTAAATCCAGTAAGCATCAGTACCATGGGAATGGTGACTGCATCTCCCAAAACTTGAGCCTGGTCTCGGGAAGGAGATGAAAGGACTGGACCAAACCATGCTTGGAGGAAGTTTGAGAATTGGAGAGGCCTAAAGGTTATGATGGCCTTCTAACTCTTCAGAACTGTGAGACTTTTTAGGTCACCAGGTACCTCAACACCCCGACCACCCTACTTATGAAAGAGGGCTGCTGAGGGGGTGGGGAGAAGGAGGGAGGCAGGGGATGGCAGATGGGTCTGATTGAATTTGGAAGATGGGAAAGTCCAGCTGTAACTTAAGGAGTGATAAATGGTGTCTACACAAACCCCACTACCCCCATGGGCACAGCAATTGATTGGATGGGGGTTCCCAGCAGAACTCCCTTTGCATATTCGATCCCTTGGGGGCAGAGAGGGGGGTGTTGACTGGGCACTTGTTTCTTTTCCCAAGGGGAGCATGGCCTGGACCCCTACCAGTATAGTAGGCTTGGGTACAGGTAAGGAGAGACTGGGCTGGCTGGGGCTGGTGGTGGTGGGGGGAAGCCACCCTGTGGCTCTCTGGGCCTGGCCTCTGCGTTACTTCTTCTCCTTTTTGCCTGACTTCTTCTTGCTGCCGTTGCCACCTGCGGGGGCCTTGCCATCTCGCTTGCCAGCTGCGTTGGTCAGTGTGGCATTGCTTCCGGGGATGTAGACGTTCTGGCGGTAGTCGGGCACGTGCTGCAGGGTAAACTGGGGCCCGTAGCGGGCACTTAGGCCCATGGTGCCAGCGCCCCCTCCCAAGGTGGAACTCCCATCAGCAGCTTCTGCAAGAGACAGAGGAAGGTCAGGAGCTAAACTCTGAGTCCCCAGCAGTCACTCCGTGAGAGCACAACCAGTGAATGAATGCCTGCCAAGTGCCCATGAGCCCCGGGAATACCACCTCTATGCACAAGGGGTGGGGGGTAAGTGACACAGCCTAGATTTGATTCCCAGCTCCTTTACCTACTAACTGATTTGGGGCAAGTCCACCTAAACTCCCCTAAGTCTCCTCAGTTTTCTGATCTGTGAAACTGGTTAAAAATAGCATCTACCCCTTCAGGTTTGTGTTAAGGCTAACCAGGATCATGAAGCATATAAAGCACCTAGAATAGTGCCCATCACACGGCACGGGCTTAAAACGTGCTAGCTGTTACTTTTCTCAGGGCTGAGATAAACGCTCTCAAATTCTTGCCCTAACCGTCCTCAAGGGAGTCGCCCTGGTTTCCTTCCACACTGGACCTTGGTCTCCTGGAGGGCTGCAACCAGGGGCTGCTGGTCCTTCCATCCTTCTCCTGCCAGCACCCACAGGGTGGGTATTTAGCAGTTCCGTTGTTAGTCTGGGGAAGGCGGTGCTTCTCAGGCACTCATTTCATAATAGTACCAGCAGCCGATGCCTACTCTGTGCCAGGCACTTGGCTAGAGAGTGCATGGGCATGATGGCTTTCAGCTCCCCAAGACAATCCAGTGAGATATGTGGTATTTATCCTCACTCTACAGATGAGGAAAGCAAGGCCCAGAGAAGGTAAAAGACTAACTCAAAGCCATAGCAGCGCGCAGTACCCAGGCACCTGGTACTTGCCCACCGTGAGGCGTGGCTGCCACCACCCTCACCACTGCCGAGTGTGTGTCATTACTTCTACTCTACTCTACATGTTCCCCGAATGGGGCCAGCAAGGAAAACCAAAACTTTCCAGGACTCAGAGTTCACAAGGGCTTCTGCTGGAGTCCTCTGGCAGCGGAAGGGTTAAAGCCCCAGGAATTCCCAGGCCAGCCCCAGCCGGAGGGCAGAGGAGCACTCCTCCCAGCTGCCCTTGACTCCACCCTAGACCCTGGGAGTGGGTCGAGAGGCTGACTAAAACCTAAAGCCAGAGAGGATGACTAATCCTGGGACACTAACCAGGGACTGAGAAAGAGAACAGCAGCCGAGGGGGAGGGGCAAGGAGAAGAGAATGGAGGGGAGGAGGGAGGGGGTGAGGGGGGACTCTGGTTTTCCACCTCCCTGCGCCAGCGCTCAGGTTTCTACAACCTCCATTTCAAGTCCCAAATCCCAGGATGTGAGGGGTTTGGGGGTTTGTGTGGAAGAGAGGTTGAGTGGGAGGGAGCATCTGCCCACTTCCTGCTCTCTTTCTCCAGGCTGAGCCCCTCCCCCAGCCCTTTCATTCAACTGACTTCCCAATGTTTTCCCTAATTAACTCCAGGAGGGAGCCTAGCTCACCCTCCCCTGCAGCACCCCTTATTCAGCCTGGGAATGGAGGGGTTGGAGGTAGGGGCCCAGCATCGGCTTCAAAGAGCCAGGATTCCAGAGTGATTTAAGGCCTAAGGGGAGACTTCAGAGGTGCCAGAAAGGGGGGGGGGTGGAGGGACACGCACTCACACACACATGCACACACGCACTCACACACACATGCACACATGCACACAGGCTCTTGAGAAAGGGAAATAAATGGGGAGAAACAGGGAGAAGGCATGGGCTTGACTGGGTCATTGCAGGCCAGGCCCACCTATGTCCCACAAACATCCTAGATCTCTAGGGAGCACCCCAAGGGGATGGAAATGACAAAGGCAGGTCTTGTCACCTCTCACCAGGAGCACAGGCCTGCCATCAGCCCAGGTCCTATGGGAGCATCAAGGTTGGGCTGGACCAGGAGGGAGATGATGTGCAAATCTGGAGCATAAGAGAACAAGGCTGGCACTCGAGTTCCTTCTGGTCAGCTCTGCCACTAAAAAAAACTGGGTGACCTTGGCAGAGGCCCTGCGTGATTCAGGCCTCTGCTTTCCCAGGTATAAATCTGAGCGGGGAGAAGACAGACTACAGGCTCTGACCTGTACAATCAATTCTTCAGCAGCCCCTCCTCCTATCCCTCCATCACAACAGTGAGCGGGGGACCAAGGTCTTTTCTATTCCAAAGAGAAACACGCTTTAAAAAGCAACAAGGAAGGGCAGCCCGGGTGGCTCAGCGGTTTAGCGTCGCCTTCAGCCCAGGGCGTGGTCCTGGAGACCCCGGATCAGAGTCCCACGTCAGGCTCCCTGCGTGGAGCCTGCTTCTCCCTCTGCCTGTGCCTCCACCTCTGTCTCTCATGAATAAATAAATAAAATCTTAAAAAATAAAAAAGCAGCAAGGAAGAGGTGCCTGGCTGGCTCCCTAGGAGGGGCATGGGACTCTCGATCTCAGAGTTGGGAGTTTGAGTCCCATGTTGCGTGTAGAGATTACTTAAAAATAAAATCTTTAAAAAGCTCTGGCCTGAAAGTGAGAGCTGCGCTGGCCTCCTCGCCAGCTCCTGGCCTCCCCATCCCCCCTGCCCTTCTCACCCCAACCCAGCGCTGAAACAGCACCTCCAGACAGGGAGGCCTGGTCAAGCCAGACCAGGGTCAGTTGAACCACAAACCAGAACCTCCTTGAAAACACACTTCCCTCCAAATGTTTATTTAAAAAACCTCCCAAATATACTTAGTTTCCTTCATACTTACTCCCCCTCAGCAGCCCCTAGCGCCAGGCTGGGCTGGACTCCAGGAACCTCTCTGGCTTCAAGACAGGGAAGCAGGTATGAAAGTGAGAGTTGGGCCTGACCCTGCCACTTCAACCTTCTGGATCCATTCCCCAAGGCCCAAGCTTATACTCAGGTCAGACACTGTGTGGGCGGGAGGGGTGGAGCCCTGACAGGGAGCCAGCCTGCAGTGACCCAGGATAGTTGTAGGCCATAAATACCAATTCCATTTCTGTTTTATAAATGTGGATTTAGGTCAAAAAGTCTGCTTCCTGGCTGTAATGCTAAAAACCACAAGAGCTAACTAAATATGCCTGTCAGTTTACTTTCCTCAAGAACCCGGCTTGGCATCTCCCAGACCCACCCACCTGCCTCTGTCATACTCTGTATTTGGCCTCTCCAGAAGCACAGCACCCCCGACCTGGGCCGGCTCTGTCACTTCCCTCTTCCTCACCCCCTTAACCTACCATGGGCCCGGCTTCATTCAGGCCCACAGGCATCTGGGAGACGTTCACCAGATTTAACAACAACAAAAAAATGCAGGATGCCTGATTAAATATGAACTTCACATAAACAATGAGCAATTTTTTTCTATAGTATGCCCCAATACTAACATTTGGTGCCTGCTTAAGCTAAAATACTATTTGTTGCTTACGTGAAGTTAAAATTAACTGAACATCCTGTATTTTATCTGGCACCTCTAGTCAGAGAGAATAAAGAAAGATAGGAAGAGGACCTGACCCTCTGCACCTATTCAGCTACAAGGGAAATATAGGCTACATCTACAGGCAGACGTGGTCACCACAGAAGAAAAGGCATCAACCTGAGAGTCAGACTACATTAGAATCATGCATCTGCAGCTCAAAATGAGGACCTGGGAGCAAGGGTTTTCTCAGTTCTCTCATTTGTCAAATATAAGTAATCACAGACCTGCCTTGCAGAGCTAGTAAGAGAATTAATTGATGTAAGGCCCATCAAGTTTGCCTAGCATGTACCCAGGACAGTACAGGGGTGTGATTTTAGTGATTTTTGTTCTGATTTTACCTGGTTCTCTACCAGCCCTCCACACATGCTCAGGGCCAGGGCTTTGACTACACTGTGTTAAGCCTTGATGCCTTAATCCTCTGACACTCTCCACAGGAAGCTTAGGGTTTGCTGCTCCCACAACTGGTCCTTATTAATAGGCATTATTCTAATTCTGCCTTTTATGGGTCAATAAAGATACGAGTTAATCAATTTTAGCCCCTGTGGAGCATGCCTGTACTCGGGCATTCCTACGCTAAGGCCCTCCCTTTGGCCCTCACAACACTGCTGTAAGATCTGTCATAGTATTTTATAGTCATTGAAACTGAGGCTCACAGGGGCTTAGGACCTTCCTTGAGAACTCACAGTGAAGCATGGGTACCAGGATTTGAATCCAGGTTGGCCTGCCTCCAAAGCCTGTGCTCTTAAGTACTAATATCGTTCTGTTTCCCCTGCTCAGGACCCTTTTGACTCTTCAGGGACAACAATCAGGGGCTGAATCTCTACCACATATGAAGATCTCTGTCAGCCTTCTAGAAAAATCAAAATCCTGCTCTGTGGGGGGGAGGAGCAACAAAAAAGTGAAGGGTCCAAGTGCATTCTCTCACACCCATGTGCACAGACTGAAGGCTTGCCTGGGCCACCCCCAGTGCTTTGTGCTGTATGGTGGCATCTCATTTAATCCTCACGACAACCCTTTGAGGCCACTGCCTCCATTTTCCTGGCTGAAGAAGGGTTAGTAAGATTAAGCAAACTGATCAAATTCACAAAGATAGTAAGTAACAGAACTAGCATCTGACCTATGCCATCCCCTTCTGAAACTGGACTCTCAACACTACTGCTCTACAGTCCCTCAATCTTTCCATTTCCACTCCCTCTAGACATCCCAGGACCCTGAACTGCTTCTCAATCTGGCTTTTTGTCCAGGATTTGTGAGTCTTCTCAGAGCAGCTGAAAGATCCAGAGACGCCATGCAGGTTAAGGCAGGTGACTTCTATTCTCCTAGAACCTCACATCTCCCATCCCAACACACAGAGGGCACAACTTACCACTGGCAGAGGCCAAGATCATAGCTTGCAGCATCTCTGTGTCAAATTGGTTGTTGGGCCAGGTGCCGGTTTCATCACCATTTTGGGAGCTGAGGAGAGAGCGGGATGGTGAATACAGTCTTCCAGGCCAGCCCCACTCAGGCCCCTCCTGTCCTCTCCCAGGGAACCCAAATCTAGTACTCTGTATCTTCATCCCATGCCAAAAGATGGCCTGTAGGATTAGAACATGTAATATTTGCAATTCCTTTGAAAAATTTGCTTAGCATACTTGCTTGCCTTGCATCATCTATAAAAATCAAACCTTTTCTGAGGCACTTCCCTAATTCCTCAAGTTCCCTCTCACAGCAGATCTGATGCAGATACTGTTCTCCAGACTGCCAGTTTCCTACCTCTGCTTTGGTAACATGAATAAAATCTGTCAGAGGGGATCCCTAAGCCCACCCAGACCAGGCCAGGTGCCTCCCCATGACAGCTCCAGGGGCACTGACCCTGCTATGGTACCTGCCTCCTACTGAAGCACTTAACGAAGACCGTCAGACACTCTAAGCATTGAGAAAAAACATGAAGTGATTGATAATTGTTAAAAATGCTAATCTATAAAGGATCCAAAGGAATTCCAATCCAACTTGGATTTTTACCACAGTGACTATTGTCATGCATTTTTGGGATTTTGCAGTATGACATTATTTCTGTTTCTGAGGGGAAAGGGAAACACCCTGACACACACACAGTCCATTAGGTGATCCTTGGCACCATCTGGCACACTGAAGTTGCTCAATAAATAGTTTTTGCCTGAATGGATGGGAAAATATCCATGGAGAGTTAGGTCACTATGAGGGAAGGATTTGGTACCAGGGGAGTGGCTGCAGGGCAGGCCTTGAACATGTATGAGAGAGAGAAAGGGTGAGAGAGAGAAAGAGTGTGTGTGTGAGAGAGAGAGAGAGAAAATGCGTAAGAGTGAACATGAGTGAGGGTGAGCACATCTGTGCATTCTGTCATGGTGGGTGAGCACATCCAGGAAATGCTTTACAATTTTTCCAAGTCCTGTCCCTGCTTATGGTTTCCCCTGATCTGGGATTCCCCATCCCCAGGGAGGTGGACTTAGATCAGAGCACAGCTGCAATGTGTGACCTCTACACCATCATATCAAACGGACACTGAGGGTTGAAGGGGAAAGTAGGATGCTCATTTCCTCTCCTCAGAGTGAGAAGAGGTGGAATTCTGTGTCCATTTATTCAACCAACATTTACTGAGCAATGACTGCACACCACACACTGGGCTAGGTACTGGGGTTATAGTTGGGAACATGACTGAAATAGTTTGTCTCTATGATGCTCACGGTCCATACTGAGAGGCTGACATTAAATAATTGCATAGTTATTTAATCATAACTGTGACAAGTGCCATGTAGGCAAAGAGCCAGGTGTAGAGCCAACTCTTGATTTAGTAGGGGCTGGGGAGCTCAATCAGCCCAGGCTTCCCTGAGGAAAAGGGAAACTAGAAGACAGGGAATTTAAATTTGAAGAAATTTCCAGGTGATCTGCAGGACAATTCCAGCTAAACAAAAGTAGGAGGAATGATAGAAAATCCCCACCTTGTAACCAGCAACCATCAGCAAATACTAAAATAATAAAAGCAAATGCTTGCTGCACAGTCTCAAATATCACTCACAATTTATTAATCTAATATTTAAAAATATCTTTGTAATGGAGATATCTGGAGATACCACTTAACTTAGTGAACAAAGTGAGGAGCCCTGACAACTAGATAGACTGACATGAAGTCATTCCCCACGTAATGTGGTGGGAGGTGTACAGGGTCACCAGGCAGTATTCCTACCAAAACTGTTAACCTCATTTCTCTGCGAGAAAATCATAAGCAAATTCAGATTGTGGGACATTTGAAAAGACAACTGGCTGGGACTCTAAAAAACGACTGTCATGAAAAGCAAACAAAAAAGGTAAGGAGGCTGTTCTACATTAAAGGAGATGAAAGAGATACGGCAAGCATTTGCAATTTATGCTCTCTGATTGAATCTTAGATTTAAAAAAAAATACCAGAGGTGTGGCTGGCTCAATCAGTAGAGCATGCAACCTTAGAGTCATGGATTCAAGGTCCATGTTGAGTACAGAGCTTACTTTAAAAAACAAACAACCCCCCCAAAACAAAAAAACCCAAAATACCAAACAGGTTAAAAGTACATTTCAAGAACATTTATGAAAATCTACTAGCGGACTATATATTATTATTGCATTAATGCTAAATTTCTCAAATGGGATTGTTCTTTTATGGTTTGTATGAGAACGCTACTATTATTAAGAGTTATATACCAAAGTTTTTCAAATTTTATGATGTCTGCCACTCTCAAATGGTTCAGAAAAAAAAAGTTTGGTGTGTGTGCGGAGAGAGAAAAAACAAACGTGCAAAATCTTAACAACTGATGAGACTATCTAGGTCAAAACAGTATTTCCATGTTCATCACACTGGTTTTGACAAGTTTGAAACATTTCAAAGTAAAAAAGCGACAGAAGATTGCAGGCAGAGAGCGCGTTCCAGGCAGAGAGAGCAACATGCCCCCAAGGCTCTGAGGCCAGAAAAAACTTGGGCAGTTCAACTGGATGCTCCAGGAAATCCAGAAGTCTTTACCTGCAGCCCTGCTGAGCTGGCACTAGGCCTCCTGGAGGGCACAAGGCTGCCTCATTAGGACAGCCTAACTGGGATGGAGTGGGGGAGAACGAGACAAAGGTGGGGGAGCAGGAGAAGCCCTCCGGGGTGAACCACAGGGTCAGGTACCAGGTTAGGAGGCAGCCCTGTGAGGACTGGGTAATGGTGTTGAGGGAATAAAGGTGAGTTAAGGGCTGGGTCTGGAACCATCGTGGGCTGGGCTGCAGGGAGGATTCTTGGGCAATGGCTGAACGCTGGAGGCTAAGCAGATGAGCGGGCAGCCAGGTCTTTGAAGCTGGGCATGAGATAAGTAGAGGGGGGAGAGACTTCTTTTTTAAACAATTTGCAGAGAGCTTCCTATTCTCTGGGCTCTGGGCTAAATTATATACAATTTAGTTTAGTTATATACATATAACATTTGGTTATATATATTTAGTTCAGATACAGTTGACATTTATATTTAGTTTATATCTAGTTCAGTTATAGCTTAGCTTGACTATTTGAGCCTCAGAACCACCTGCAGATAAGTGTTCTCAGGATTCTATTTTCCAGAAGATGAATCTTGGGGCTCAGAGGGATTGAAAGACTCCCAAAGCCATATAGCTGGTAACTGGCAGAGCTGTGACCAAAAAGAGGCCTCCTGTGACTCTGGAGCCTATCCTCTTACACGTGTCACCACACGAGGCTTCCCCACGGAGGCCCTGTAGCCCCAGCAGGCAGTGGGGCTAGGGGACCCTTCCAGGATTTAGGAGATGGTGAAAAATGCAAGTAGAGGAGATGGACTATGTCTAATCGACCATTTTCCAAGGATCCACCATGTGTCAGTGCCTGCAGCAGGCCCTAAAACATAAGCGTTCACAGACACATTTCTTGCACTAAGAAGTCTATATTCTGGCGCACTGGATGTGAGTGCGAAGGAACAACCCAGAGGCTGGGCTGTGGAGAAAGGTTCCCTGCAGCAGGATGCAACCTGGGGAAGGCACTCTGACAGTAGCCTGGATTAAACTGTTAAAATATAAATACCTATGTATTTTGTGATGTAGTAAAAGCCTGTCAGCCTTTTAAAATCTACATCACATGTCCATATGAAGGGCTGTTATGAAACAACTAACTTCTGAAAATTTTTTTGACGGGGGAGATTCTCATGGTATATTGCAAAGAGAACACAAACAGGTGATAATGCTGATGGAACTCAATTACTAGCAAAAAAAAAATGGTGAGAAATATACCACCTGAGTTCTTGATATTTTGTGAACAAGTTTGTGAACAATTTATTTAGGTAAATCAGATTTAAAAAAAAAAAAGAAAGAAAGAAAAGAAACCTGTGCATGTTGTTTGGGTGCACAAAGAAAAAAAGTTTAGAAATACACATATGAAAATATTAAAAAGTTTAAGAGATTTGAGACACTCAACCAAATACAAAATGTGGACCTTAATTTGGATAAGTGTGCAAATGCATTAACAGACACATAACTGGGGAAATGTCAATAAAGACTGAGTATTTGATGATACTAGTTTATAATATTATATTATTCAGTATTAGTAGTTTATTAATATTAGTGCTTATGTGTTAAAAAAAGAATTGTCTGTTAAAGACAGTGAAGATGCAGATGAAATTATATGATGGCTAAAGTCTGTTTCAAAATAGCTTAAGGGAGTAACAGGGTAGAGACCCAAGTGAAACAAAGTAGGGCATTAGTTGAAGCTGGACATCAGGATCAGAGAGGTTCATTACACAGTTCTACTTTTGTACACATTTGAAAATTTCCATATTCAAGAAATGTTAGTGAGAATTCTCTGGATTGTGAAATTAGAGTGCTTTTTCTTTTAAAATTTTTCTCTATTTCTCATGCTTCTATAATGAGCGTGTATTTTTTTATAAGGAGAAAAAAAAAAGTTGCTACTTGTCTGCTGAATGACTGCCTAAGCGAGGGATAACAGGGCTAGTATCTCTCCAAGGATGGGGAATGGAAGGCCGTAGGGAGCTATCAAGGGAGAACAGAATGGAGACTGGGAGAAGCTAAATGGAGATTCTCTCCCCTGAGCAGAGACTGGGAACAGCTGCAGGGCAGGGCATGGTTTACAGCCCAAGAAGGGACAAGTGGTTTGCTGGATTCAGTGCCTAACAGCTGTTGAGATAAGAACCCAGAAGGATGACTTGAGAAGGGATTCCAGCTGGAAGGAGGAGCACCTGGCAAAGCATGTCTTTATCCCCTTGGTCTAGGTAATGCGACCCAGTGCCAACTTGAACCTGAACTAGGTTTACTAGAGAGCTCAACACCAGCCCTGCTCTGAAGCTGATGTGCCAGTCCCCAAGATGGTAGGGATGGTGTGGAGCAGGGAAGTGATACTGAGCGAGAACCGGTTAGTCTGAATAAGAGAAATCTTTCCTCTTCATCCTCTCACTCCAATTTACTCATCAGAATGGTGGCAAGAAAGAATTTTGTTCTTGTCCCAGTCAGTTTGTTGATTCTGAGAAGCCTTGCCACAAGGCCTTTGCATATGCTCCTCCCTCTCTCCTTCAGCTGGTTAATTTAGATTCAGCATTCAGATCTCAGCATGACTTCATTTCCTCTTAGATGTCCTTCTGCCCCTTGACCAGGTCAAACCCCTATTTTATGCTCTCACCACCAGGTACTGCTCTTCTTAGCACTTGTGATAACTGCAATCTTATGTTTATTTTTTATATTTGGTTAGTATTTGCCTCATTCAACACATGGTAAACTCCTTGAAGGCAGGGGGCAGGCCTATTTTATTGCCTCCTTCACCTAGAATACCATCTGGCCTATAAGAGGTGTTTACTAACTATGGTATGAATGAAGGAGGAAAGCTGTATTTGCTGGACTGAACCCTTAATGGTTATTTCATCTGTGGCATCATGGAACTCAATCAGGAATGTTTGTGCCATCTCCCTCAAGTTAACTAAGGTAGGGAACCTTCTCTTATATCTCTCCCAAGAGCTCCTATGTGTATTTCAGGCCTCCAAGTCTCTTATTTGATGAAAAGGGACTTGAGGTAGGGGTAAGGTGCCCAACCGAGAGGGAACATCAGAAGCAGTCTGTGGGCCTTCCAGCTTCAGCAATGAATTCTGTTTCAGGACCAGCTTATGGTCTGGGGTGCATGTGGGCACAGGGGCTAGAAGTTGTCCAGTGCTTCTCACCACCTCAGCTCAAAGGTCACTTCCTCCTAGAGGCTTTTTCCACCTCTACCATTACACTCACATGATCCTCTTCTTTTCAGAACTTGCTATGGTTTGTAACTAGTATTTCTTCTTCTTTTTTTTTTTTTTTTTTTTTTTTTTTTTAGTGTGATTGTTGTCAATTTTCTGTCTCACCTGCTAGCCTGGAAGTCTATGAGTTCTGCGTGTTCATTCTTGAAAGACAGTATTTAGAAAAGGGTCTGGCTCATAGTAGATGCCCAATAAGTAAGTGATGACTGAATAAATACGTGAGTAAACACATGAGTGACCTAACCGATCAACTATAGAAAGGCTGGCAAGGCCACTGGGGAAAAAGAAGACAGGGGTCAAGGGAGGGGCAAGGGCAATTCAAGCCATCTGGCTTGTTGCCTTCTGGGGGACTTCTAGGAAATGTCCTGAGTTCCTGATACATGTGCAAGATTGAACATGCCAAGGTGGTGGAGTTCCCACCATGTATACTAAGGTCTCAGGGATTCTTGCGGCAGTGCGGGCTCACCATGTGCAGCATGCAGGGAAATGCAGGCTTTGAGTGTGTCTGACCAGCAAAGAGGCAGGGGAAGGGGGCCTAAACTCTGCCCCCTCTCTCCCTCTCCTGGATTCCTTGGACTCCTCCAGGCTCCAGATTCCCAAAAGGGAGGCCTGGCCCAGAGCCCATCTCACTCCCTTCAGACCAACTGAAGATCTTTCTAGTTTCCCTCCCCACCACCGCAGGGGGTTCCTGTCTCAGCAGGAATTCATACTCAATTGAAAAGAGCAGCTGGGGCAGCCTGGACAGGGAGGGTGTGTGGTGATCAAAGACTGTGTGTGAAGGGGAGGGAGGGCATGTGTGTGCTGGCTTGCCCACAAGTACAAAGAAATGCAAGACAGGATAAGGGAGACAAAGAGAGATAAAGAAAGAGTAACAAAAACAGGCTCAGGGATACAGATAGAGACAGACTCCACGCTCAGAGACAGATAAGGAAAGAGACATAGCCTGCGAACAGAGAGGGAAGTAGAAACAATAAGAGATTAGGAAGCCAAGAGACAGAGGAACACAAGGACGGTAGGCAAGAGGGAAACACAGGAAAAAGGTCAAGGGAAGAGACAGGGAAATGGAAACGGAGAAGAGATGTGACAGAGGCTGAGTCACATTTATTAATTCGACATTGAGCATCCACCACGGCAGGTGCCGTGAAAGGCACAGATCAGTGCAAACAGATAGAGATGCCAGGGACCAAAAGGCAGCAATAAAGACTGAAACTGAGGTGGAGACAGAAAGAGAGGGAGAGGCAGAGACTGTGAATGAGACAGAGACTGAGGGGAGGGCAAAGAGATAAGAAAGACTGGCAGAGACAATAGGGCAGGACCAGCTTCAGGGACCTGGGGCAGCCTGGAGCCAGGGCAGGACCGGGACACCTGCCCTTCAAGCTCCCTCTCCAGTCCGGCCTCTAGCTGTGCAGCCTCCACCTTCCCCCACAGCTGCCGGGCCTCCCGCACCTCTGTCCCTGCTCAGTCCTACTGGCTCTGGAGGTGGCTCTGACTGCTGATAGTGCCTCCTCCTCCTCCTATCCCTCGAGTCTCTGCCTGAACCCCAGCCCAACCTGAAGCAGGGGGACGTAGGAATTAGATGGGTATAAAACACTCCCTTTCCACCAAGAGACCAACCTCAGGCGAGGAGATGCGAACAGGTTTGCATGGGGAGCAGGAAGGGGCTAAGCATGTGGAGCGAGCTTTCAGAGAGCCAGAGTACCAGCCTCTTCCTTCTGGGGTCTGTGTACCAGCCCCCAATACACTAAAACCTCCCTGGAATCTGGAACTCAGGGAAGGAGCGATTTGTAGCAAATTCTGAGCCTTCCCCCACCTCCTCCCACGTCATCACTGAGGAAATGCCGCAGAGAAGAGGGTGGGCTGGAGAGGCAGTCACCTACCCGCTGGTGCCGGGTCTCTGGGCCTGAGAGAATCGCCAGTCCGTGTTGGGCGGGGCTTGCTGTGGAGAAAACAGAGGAGAAAAAGGGACTGAGTATCACACACAGTCAGAATGTCACCAGAGTCTGGGGCTGGGCAGGGAGGGAAAAGGGAAATAGACTCAGAGAAGAAAACGGGATAAGAGGAGGGAGGGGAAGACATCTCCAAAGACAAAATGTACTCCAAGTCTCAGAGGTCTGAGAGACAGAGAGATAAAATAACACTTATCTGACCAGCAAACCCGAAGATTCCTCTGCCAAAGACAGAGCCCATTCCTCCCAGCCCAGAGACTCAAAACTTCTGAGCTGAGATTCAAGTGCTGAAAGTCTCTTCTGCAGAACCAGAAGGAGGGGTGTAGAGAAGCCCCCCCACCCCCCCAGCCCCCCATCGAAAGTGGTTGAGGAGATTTTCGATGAGAATTCCACCAGCCCTAGAAAGAATGGATTCAGCTCCTCAGCTGGGAACAAAGCATTCTTGCAGCAAGATGGCTGCTGCTCCGGGGTAACCCTTTTGGCGCCAGGTTGTGTTATAACATATTCAGAGGGACACCTCCTCCAGGCCCTTGGCTCTCAATGATCCCTTCCCACGGCTAAAGACATTATTAATTTAGGAGTCATGCCAGACGGATTCTTTGCAGAGGAACCAAGACACCTCTCACCCCCAGAACCCTGCCAGTCAATGGCTGTGACTGAGAAGGAAAGAACAAGGCTGCTCTGTCTGGGATGGAGAGAACTGCTGGGATGGAGCCCAGCAGAGATGGAGCTCCCACAGCCTCTGAGCAGAGCCAGCTAAGTCTCCAGGGCTCCGAAGGGGCTGATCTGTAGTCACGTCCCACCTGGATGAAGGTGCGGGACTCTGGCCAGCCACTTCACTCCTGAGTCCAGAGAGTATTGTCCCATTGCACATGGAACACTCCTTGAGCCATCTCCTTACTCATTCTGAGGTGAGCTGGCAGTTAACTCTCAGGCTCACCCCCAGAAGTGGAGGAGAAATATGAGCCTCTCTGGTTACACTGGGGAGAAGAAAGGCCCAAGGCTGACAAATGACTCTCTCTGAGGTGCACAGATGGCAGTGATATGAGCAGAACCCAGAAATTCAGCATCCCAGGTACAATACGAGTTACCAGCACCAGTCCAGGGCTGCTGTGAGATGCCTACTCCTCAGCCTTAGACACAGGAGAACCTGCATGGAGATGCCAGAACCATGACAAATCACAGGAAGGCATAAGGATGGCGGATCCAGAGTGTGTTCAGTGATAAGGAGCTCCAGAAGACTTTTCTCTAACATATAAAGCCCGAAAAGACAAAAAATCCCATCTATGCCCCATCCCAGCAGATGCAGACTGTCCTTCTGCACTCCAGCTTTACAAGTGCAAGTGACTCAAAGTACAAATTCTGGAGTTGGACCCGAATAAGATCTTTCTCTACCACTTACCCTGGGAACTTGAGCAAGTCATGTAACCTCTGTGAAATTCAGTCATCAAGTGGGAAAGCTAGTATCTATCCACAAAAATGTGGGGGAGAGCAAGTGAGATGTGGTACTCAGAGGAAGTACGGCAGTAAGGCTCTCTCAGTCAGCGGTCACGTGGGGGTGTTGTTTCAAACTAGTTCTGATTCAGTAGGGGCAGGGTAAAACATAGCTATTAAATAAAAGTTCCTGAGATTGGGGAAACTTGTGTCTTGTACTACTACAGTTGCCCCACTCACAAGGACACCCTGGCATCCGGCAGAGGCTGTGGCTTTCCATCAGGCAGAGAACGAAGAACTTGACAGAATCTCAGAGAATTTGGTCACCTCCCAAAGCCCTGATCCTAGATGGTAGGAACACATAAAGGTTGTGATGGAGCCAAAAGCCTATCTCTCTGAGTGTCCAGAGTCCAAGTGCTTCACATTCCTGCCACCTGCCTATCCAACCCTTAAGCCATGGAGTAGCTCAGCCAGCCCCTGAGGCTTTTGGGCTGGAGGCGCCGCTGACCTCTGCATAAAGCCCCAGCAGGATAGAGCAGCCTACCACTACCACTGCCTCAGCCTACCACTGAGTTCCCAGACTTATACCCTTGCCCAGAGATGACCTGGTCTAGTCCCAGGTGGAGAGGCAGGAAGAGGCTCCTTAGTCCTTGCAGACCCTGGGAAATCACACCATGAGTACCTCTGAGGCCAGCAGCCAGGTTGTTAGGAAGCTGCGAGGGGCCTGGGGACAGTCAGAGAGTGTGAACTTGGCAGCAACCACTGGTAGTTACAGGTGGTATGCATGTAAGCCCAATGCAGGTGTGTGTGTAATGAGGTGAGGCGAGCCCATCGGTGCATGTGGCCAGTGGTGTGTTCTGCAGGGAGGACACACATGAAGCATGAGTGAACACCTATCCTGTCTACAGATACGTTTGCTTGATGGGTGAATAAGGATGGCTGAGAAGAACAGCTGAAGTCACCCATCAAGGGAGTGGAAAGAGGAAACCTCGAGACTGGCAGAGCAAGCTGCCTCAGGAGTTGGGGAGGCTCGGTACAGGCGGAGATTCGTGACTGACTCCACCCAGGACCAGCCTCCCATAACCAAACCCAGCCGTAAAGATTATTGGACCCCAGCCTTTTTTCATTGTTGGTGGCAAAGACTGGCTCTACTTCCCCCTCACCTACAATCACCACCACTTCCTGGTACTCAGAGTCCTAACCCCACTTTGGTGTTCCATGCAATCAGTCCAAAAGGTCCCCCAAATCGTGCAAAATACAGGCAACACTGAGCTCCACGCACCCCTCCATCCCCACAGCCCCCACCCCCACCTGAGAGAGGAGTGGATGCAAATTCAAAGTCCCTTCTATGGATGGGCTGCTTCTCCAAGGCAGCCCACAGGGGTCGCCCTGGGTGGTGTGGAGCCCCTCACCTGGCTCCGCTCGTGCAATGTATTGGAGCGGGACCGGTAGGCATCAGGCTCCAGCCCCAGAGCTGAGGGCTGCTGGACACTGAGGGGCCTTAGAAAAGTGAAGTCACTGCCATCTGAGGCTGGCGAGAAGCACGTCCTGTAGCAGTGGCTCTGTGAGTCCGTGGGCCGCAGCGTCACCTCCATGTACTTGAGTGTGCCGTCTGAGCTCACCTGCAGGTTGGGACTAGACTGCTTATAGAAGTCCCGAGAGGGGGAGTCCTGGCGCCTGCAGCACTGGCTCCCACCCCCATTGGTATCTGTGTGCCCCTGAAGGCACTTAGCTGACAGAAAGGTGAAGGTGACTAGGGATAAGAGGCTGATGGCTGCAAGAGCCACAATGAGGTAAAGGGTAAGGTCTGAGCGCTCAGGAGGGTTTGAGAGGAAATCGTTGGATTTGGGCATTTCCTCAGGATCCTCATCCTCCAGAACCAGCAGCACTGTGGCTGTAGAGGAGAGTGAAGGGTCACCGTTGTCCCTCACCAGGATCACAACTTGCTGGGTGTCAGAGTCATCCTCCCGTAAGGCCCGGGCTGTGCGCACCTCGCCAGTATGTGCAGACACCAGGAACAGTCCTGGAGCCGTGGACTGTGGCAACAAGGAATAGGAGAGCCAGGCGTTGTGGCCTGCATCAGCATCCACAGCTGTCACTTTGGTGACCAAGGAGCCAGGAGGAGCAGAACGAGGGAGACGCTGGGGGACAGAGAGTTCCCACCCGGGTTTTGGGTGCAGCACAGCTGGAGCATTATCATTCTGGTCCAGGACAAATACATGTAGAGATGTGTTAGAATGCAGTGGGGGAGAGCCAGAGTCTCGAACCCCCACCATGACCTGCAGCATTTGCAGCAATTCGTAGTCAAAAGTGCGCTGGGCAAAGACTCGCCCATCCTCAGGGTTGACATATACAAAGGAGGAAGCTGGGGCTCCCTGAATCTGACTCCCTACAATGGAGTAGGTGAGGTGGGCATTATCCCCGGTGTCTGGATCCGAGGCAGCCACAATGCAGAGAAGGGAACCTGGAGGTCGGTTTTCTGGGATATAAGCAGTATAGAGCTGTTGGGTAAAGTAGGGTGCATTGTCATTAACATCTGAAATGTTGAGACTGATGGTGAGATGTGCATGCAGGGGAGGTGAGCCTGCATCACTGGCCAACAGCTCTATAATATAGTGGGATGTGGTCTCCCGGTCTAAAGGCTGGCTGGTTAGCAGTGAGTAGTGGTTCTCAGAAGGCTTAATCTGAAATGGCAGGTCCGGGGAGAGATCAAGGCTCACTTCACCATTTCTACCCGAGTCTCGATCCCGCACATTAAACAAGCCCACTACTGTGCCCACTGGTGTGCTCTCCAGGATAGGATTGACTAAAGAGGCCAGTAGTACTTCTGGGGCATTATCATTGGCATCTCCCACATCCACTTGAATCATACAGTGGCCTTCCATGGCTGGCTGTCCCTGGTCACGGGCTCTTGCATGAATTTCATAGAAACTTGACTCCTCAAAGTCTATGGGACCCAACACATGGATTGCTCCACTGCTAGGGTCTAGGCCAAAGAGATTACGCACTACCTCAGATGTATGGTCTCCAAAAGAATAGTCTAGCTGGCCATTAGTGCCCTCGTCTGGATCCGTGGCATTGAGGCGGAGCAGCAGTGTACCGATGGGGGCATTCTCTGGGAGCCCCACACGTAGAACCGAGGACTGAAAGGCTGGGGCATTGTCATTGACATCCAGCACAATCACAGAGATAAGAGTGGTCCCTGAGCGGGCCGGGACACCCCCGTCCACAGCAGTGAGGACCAGCTGATGTCTTGCCTGGGCTTCACGATCCAGCTGCTGCTCTAGCACCAGCTCTGGGAAGAGCTTCCCATCTTTTAGGGTCTTCACATTCAGAGACAAGTGGCTGCTGGGGCTTAGAGTATAGAAGCTCACAGTATTGGTGCCCACATCCGGATCCTGGGCACTATCTAGCGGGAATCGTGCCCCAAGTGCAGCCGATTCTGAGATGCGTATCTCCCGCACAGAGGTGGCAAAGCTCGGGGAGTTGTCATTGAGATCCAGGATCTCCACCTCTACGCGGATTAGTTCCAGGGGATGTTCAGTCACCACCTGCA